GGTGGTGAGGTTCACGGTGAGGCAGGTCTGAGCTGGGCTCTCATCTCCACCACTCACCAGCTCTGTGGCCTTCAGCAAGTTACTAAACCTCTCTGAGCCTGTTCCCCCAAGCGTAGGGTTGCTGTGGGGCTGGAATGACTTCAGATAGGCAACATGCTTCCCTGGGATCTAGCATCCAGCAGGTGTTCGGGTGATGGAATGTCTTTCCTTGCTGGGTCAGCTCCCCGGAGGCCTCAGGGGATGCTAGGAGGGTGGCCCTGGGCCCCTGCTGGTAAGACGCATTCGGGGGACACCATTCATAAATAATCAAAGCCTTGAGCTTTCTTCCTTACCGGTCTCAGGAGGAAGAGGCAGTAGCTTGGTGTTTGGGGACAGGGACTCTGAATGCGGCTCTGCCATTAATTGCCCCAGTGGTCTTGGACCTCGACTTCCCTGTACTGGACGGACCAGCGTCCAAGGGCAGACGGCACAGCTGCGCAGTGGGCCGTGGGGCCCGGCTGCTGCAGTCCCAGCTCCGCCGCTTTCCACGCGTGCGAGTGAGCTGGGTGGGTGGAGGGCCGCCCTGCACAGGGAGGGAACTCAGCTGCAAAACAGGATGCAGCAGGTGCGGCATGCAGCCCTGTCCGCCAGGTGTGCTGTCGTCTAACTGTTAAACGCACGGAGGGAGGAGACAGGAGCGGCAGGGAGCGGGCGGGGACAGAAAGGCTCAGTTGGCTGGGATCGTGCTCCCCCAGTTAACTGAGCACTTAGAGAACATTTCTCGGGAGCCAGGTGTGGGCAGGAGACTGTGAATATGTAAATCCCTTCTGTAGGGTCCTCGTTCTAGGCTCCCTAAGGGGATGGTGAGCGAGGGACATCATGAGGAGCACAGGACCGGCGGCAAGACAGAAAGTCCCCTCCAACGAGACAGGGGCCCCCAGACCCCCAGTCAAGGTGCCACTGACCCAACAGGGTGACTTTGGGGAAACCGGGCCCTCAGTTTCCACTTCCTACTCTGATAAAGCTGGTATCTGAAAGTGGTCGGGAGACAAGTGCAGCTCCCTCCACCAGGGACACCCCGCGCAGCCCGAGGAAGCCCCCAGCCAGGGCGCCCCGCCTGCAGCCCGCAGCCTCCGAACCTCTCGAAAGGCTTTTCCCTGTAAAACTCGGCTCCACCCTCTGGCCTCCAAGCCGAGGTCCTTGGCCTCAGTTTTCTCATCCAGGAAATGGGTTGAACGAGCTCTTTCCTCCACCGAGCTGAAGGGGCTGGCCTCCCTAGATGACTTCTCACTGCCAGCCAAGCTCCAAAAAGAGCAGGCATGGGGGTTTCTGAGCATGGGGAAGACAGAGTGAGTAAGACCTCATGCTCTAGAGACCCGGGTTTGAATCCTGACTCTACCCTCTTAAGTGGGGTACTGCATGTGAAACACTCAGAACAGGGTGTAGATATCCTGGGGGCTCCAGAAAGTTTACCTGCCCCTGTCAACGTTGGTATTAAACATGCTGCACGACTTGCTTTCTAACTGTGTCTATTCTGTCTGCCCCGTTGTTACTGTCAGTTCCAGCAGGACGGGGGACTTCCCGTCTGTGTTCCTTGATTTATCCCAAGTGCCTAGAACAGCGCCAGGCACACAGGAGGCACTCCATAAACCCCTGTCGTGTTAGTTACCCCCTCAGAGCCAGGGGACAGGCAGGGCTGAGATGAGTAAGTGGCTGTTCCGTGAAATTCTGCCGGGCAGTCTCTCCACGGGGTTCCCGAGGCTCCGTGGCCCCCGCTGCCCGGCTGGGTCTGAGACAGGGACGTGGGTCAACCCACCGGGGAAGCAGGTCTTCCCACGGCAGCAGCACGCCTGCTCGTCCCAGTCTGTCCGGGCTCGCTACGGCCCCAACCTCACCCCTGCATGGCTTCTGTAAGAACAAAAACACCTTCGGGTCTCAAGAGCCAAAGCCATGCTGGTGGCGTGTTGGGGACCTGCTGTCCTGTGTAAAGCCATGGCGTGCCAACCCCACGGCCCAGGTGCAAAGCCCTTCCTGCCCTGCTTGCCCAGGTGAGCTGCAGAGCAGCCACGTCTGCTGGGGAGGGAGGACGGCAGAAGGGGATCTGTCGCTACGGGTCACCTCCCCACAGACCCCGACTCCGCAGAGAAGCCCGGGCGCCGCACCTCCCGAGACACACAGGTGTGCTGAAGACTCAGGCCCTCCTGTCCAGGCAGAGGAGGAGCAGACTGAGCGGGAGCGTCGATGCCCCGGGCTCCCGAAGAGACCCGGAGGCGCCCGCCCCTCGGATCTGCCTGACCCTCAGCGCCGGCCCGCACGCACGGGAGCACACACGCCCGCCCCGCCGCCGCATCTGCCCTGGCCGGCAGCTGCTCACGCCCTGGGCCCCTCTGCCCCTGTCAGCCCCTCCATCCGTCTTCACACCTTCCTGGGAACCTCTGGGCAGGCCTCCGAGGTCCTCCGATTCATCACGTCAGCCTCTCGTGAGCAAGGGGGCGGGGGGCCTCCCCAGGGTCTCTCGCTTTCGGTTTCAGGGAATCCCTGGGCTGGGCGGGGGGATGAGGGTCCAACTCGGGAACTTCGAGGCAAGGGTGGAAAACTCGACATCCAACTGCGAAGGTTCCTAACCGTGGGTAGAGCCCCCTCCCACCCCCGATCTGACTGCTCACACCCCCGGGTCGGTTTCTCCTCCTCTCCCCCTCCTCCCCCTTGAATCCCATCCCCACACTCTGCAGGCCTGGGGCCCCTTATTTGCTAGGCTCTCCTCTGTCCTGTGACAAAAGTCCTGCTTTGGGGATAAACCTCAGCCCGCAATGACACAGGGTGGGCTGGGGAGGACCCTCGGCCCTGGCCCCGCCCATGTGTACCGGTGCCCCGGTCTGTAAAGTGAGAGGCTGGCCTGCACAGTCTCAAGTCCTCTCCAGCTTTCCAAGGATGCTCCTCCCAACTCGTCTTGTACCCCCGGGCCAGGCATGGACCACGGCTTTGGGTGTGGACAGCTCGGGTCTCTGCAGCGAGCTTCCCCACCCAGCCAGCTTGGAGATCCTGTTGTGTCTGTCTCCTGTCCCAGCTCTGGAAAGCCTGGCCAGTTAGCCCTCAGCACTAAGGCGATGGCGGCATGACCTTGAACCCCAAAGAGGTCAATTAGGTTCCACTGGGAAAATATTTTGGCCTACCGGCTGTATTGCATGTGCAGGGTTTATTACACCTGGGATACCAGCAAGAGAGTGGGGTGGTCCGATAAGGACCATGCTGAGACTGACAAGGTCGGCCAAGGCAGTGGCATCACCCCTATAATGCGGGCCCCAAGAGGGCGTGGTCCGTCAGCACTGGGCGCTGTGCATGCAGCTCCTTACATGGACCAGGCCTGAGCCACGTGCTTCTGGCGGATCGTCTCATTTAATCCTCAACAACCCTAGAGGTAAGTGCTGGCATTATCCCCATTGCATGGATGAGAAAATCAAGGCACAGAGAGGAAAAGACATTTTTGCTCGAGGGTTCCCCTACAACGAAATGATGGAACTAGAATGCAAGTCACCCTCAGCTACACAAATTAATGGAGGCAAACAGCAGGGAACCCAGACAAGGAGAGAATTAACAGTCTTGGGAATGTTTTAGATAAGGAGTTGGCGATTTCTTTTCTGCATGGGCCGGAGAATAAATATTTCAGTCTCTGTGGGCCATATGGTCTCTTCTGGAGCCACTCAACTCTGCTGCTCTAGCTCAGAGGCAGCCGCAAATGGAGGGACACAGCTGTGTTCTAATAAAACTTTCTTTACACAAACAGGTAGCTGATGGATGTGGCCCACAGGATGTCATTTGCTGACCCGCTTTGACTGCTTTTTCTTTAGGTAGCAGGATTCCTATGTTGATGATATCATGCTGGCAACAGCAGGGCAGCAGAGCTAATATTTACCTGATTAGGAGCTTTGACCTGTTAGCACCTTGAACGGGGCAAACACCCCTCACCAAGAGGCTGGTAAGAGACTCTCTGCCTAATGGGAGATAAAATGAGGCTCACAGATGCCACCTGCCTAAGACCACCCTGAGCAGCGGAGCTGGGGGTTAAACCCACCCAGAGCTTCACTTTCGTGCCACACCAGCTGTTCACATCAGTGCGGGTCGCCGCATGCGACGCACTCTCACCACGCGCGTGAGGAAGGGGTGTCTCAGAAGGTGGCAGGCAGGGTAAAACCAGGCTTGGGTTTAATTCCCTTCCCCATGGATATTTGGGAGCCTGCTGCAGCTACCAAAACGAGCTCATCCGTTCCTCAAATCCGCTGGGACGTCCAGTTACCACTCAGTCGCAAACCCACCCGTGACCAGCATAAGCCCAGCGCCATCTCCCTGACTTCGTCAAGGCGGGTCCTGTGACTTTTCACGGCACCATCAGGCAGTGAGTGACTTCACCAGCAACCAATCACGCGCGTGCACAGAGTTCCCAAGACCCAGTCGGGTCCCGGTCCAGAACCCCGTCTGCGGTTCTCTGCACCCACAGGACGGGGTCCTGCCTTTCCCACATTGGCCGCTCCTGGTGAAAGGCCAGGAGCACGGGGTGGAATCCAGGAAGGACTCCCGGTTCTGGAACAAAACCCCAACCACAGTCAGCCTCCTCCGGGAAGGGTGCAGGGCTTCCACCCATGCACTGTCGGAACACGCCTGACTTTCACGGACCGAACAGTCCCGGGGTGGGTCTCGGGCCTGTTTCATAAGCTCTGCATGGCCAGGAGCACGTCTACGATCTCTGTTTGTTTCTGGGTGGCAAGAAATATGGAACCCTTTCTCCACATCCGGGTCTGCGGCTTCAGGAACCTGAACCCGGGGCAGTGGGTCCCAGACACTGAAAGCGATGGTGGAAGGGGCACCCCCACCTGCCGCCCAAACCCTCGCAGGTGCCCGACAGCCAGTGGTTTCGTGGAGACCAGCGACACCTGTCTTCCCCAGTGGAGAGCCACCCTGGGTCCCCCGACCGGGCAGGCTGGCATCTGTCAATGGGACCCCGGGCGCGAGGCGGAGGCGCCTACCTGAGGGGACAGGCCGTTGCTGACGGGGTTCATGTGGTTGGAGGGCGCCGCGGGGGTCATGAAGCTGTCGGAGTAGCTGGAGAAGCCGTGGCGGGCTCCGTATGCGGAGCTGGTGTCCGCGGCAGCGGCGGCCGCGGCCAGCCCGCCCTGGTGCATGGTGGACGGCGGCAGGGGCTGCGGCCGGTGCACGGTGCTGCCCCCGTCTGCGGAGAGACCCAAGAGAGGTTCTGAGCCAGTGGCCTCACGCTGGAGGAAGCCATGAGCCTCCTCCTCCCAGCCTCCGCCCCTTGGAGGGGAGCGACCACCTTCTCCCGCTGCTTGGGGTGAGAGGAGCTGGCTCCCGGGCGGGGCACTGGGGCCCGGCCAGGCCTTGACTGACAGCCAACCAACACCCCAGACACCCCCCTAGACAACGGCACACCGGCCATTGTTGCTCACTGCTTGGCTCACAGTAGGTACTCAATAGGTGTCAGCTGGACTGAAAGTCGGACCTTGCTGGGGACCCTGTCCTGATTTTTGAGCATCGACCCACACCAGGTGCTTTTACAGATGCTGTTGAAGGTGTGAAGCAAGAATGTGGTTCCCATTTTACAGATGAAGAAACTGAGGCTCGATGGGGTTGGGGCACAGGATGGCCAGGCTGGTGGGGGATGGGACCAGGGTTTGGACGGCCTGACTCCGGGGCCGTTTCTGCTCCTTGCTGCTGGGCTGCTGCTCTGCTCTGCGGGGGCCCCTCTGTGCAGCCTTCCAGGGGCTGGGGCCCTGCCCCCCTTAAATCCCTATTAAGAATCACAGCGGGGATGGGCGGTGGGGGTGTTCTCCCACTCCCTCCTCGGCCTCCAGAACCGCAGCCTGCCATCCTTTAAGAGGTGGCATTCTGGTGTGTGCTGGGGTGGGGGTGGGGTGGCAGAAAGGGGCGGGGTCCAGGGAGGGAGGGGGGGAACCCTTGTCCCCTACAGAGTGCACCATCTCTTCTGGGACCCAGCCTTGAGCTTCTTCCCCTCCCGAGGGCCCTGTGACCCCCTAGCCCTCCCACCCACTCACCCTCTCCCCCTGCCCGCCCCTCTCCAAGACCAGAAGAGAATCTGACACTTGAGGCCGCTGGGCCCAAGCGATGCCTCCTTCCCAGCTGGACCTCGGGGCCTGGCCCCGCTCAGCCCAGCCCAGGGCAGAGGGGAACGAGGGGGTTGCCTCTTCCCCCGAGTGGGCGTCTCTCAGAGGAAGCTTCCTCCGGTCCTGGAAGGGGCTGACTTTTATCCATCTCTGAAAATGGATCTTTTGAGAGAGCAGGGCAAGGAAGTGAGGTCTCGGAAAATTATTTAAGCCCCTTTGTAAATTTTTATTGGCATGAATTAGAGGCCAATATAACCTAAAATAAATTATCCCAATATTCTCCCAACACACACACGCACACACACACTCATACCATGCTCTCATTTATAAAAAAGCAAAGACTGTGGCCGCACATGGGCCCGAAGTCCTTGGGGAATATCCTCTCCCTCCAAGGCTGCTCTGCTCAGCACCCTCCGGCAGGCGCTCCAGGTCCTCGCTGCTCAAACACAGTCCGAGGCCCGGCAGCCTGGGCATGGCCAGGGAGCGTGTCAGAAACGCAGAATCCCGGGCCCCACCCAGCCCGGCGTCTTAACAAGGCCCCCGGGAGACCCGCGTGCACTCGCCCCTGGGAGGCTCGGTTCTGAGCAGGTGCACGGGGCCGCCTTGCTGACCCCAGCCGGCCCGCTGGCAGGACTGTGCCTTTTGTGTCTTAAGAGCCTGCCCACATGAAAGTAAGAACAGCCCTTGGAAGGGGAAGGAGAGAAGGAAGGAGAGGGGTGGGCTGGGGGAAGGGCGGCCGCGGCGATGCAGGGCGGGCGGGACGCTCACCTTGGGAGATGGTGGTGGTGGGGTAGGTGGAGTCCGGCAGCTGGTAGGGGGACAGCGTGGGCATGCCGGTGGGCGGGAAGCCTCCCGGCAGGAGGTGGTTGAACGCCGCCAGCTGGTTGGCTCCTGCCTGCTTACGCCAACGGGCGCGGCGGTTACTGAACCAGACCTGGGGGTGAGAGCAGAGAATGAAGGACCCTTGGCCCTGCAGAGCCGCATGGCCAGGACCTGTCCCTTGAGCCATCGCGCTCCAGGCCAGCCAGCATCCTCCTCCATGGAAGGGAACCCCAGCTTCGTGCAGCATGGGACAGTTTGCAGAGCGACTTTATAGGCACTACCCGATTCTGTCCTCACCACCCCCTGTGAAGGGGGATTCTTATCATTATCCCCACTTTACAGATGGGGAATCTGAGACCCAGAAAAAGTGGGTGGCTTGTCCATGGGTCAGGGTGAGAAGGTGGCCCAGCCAGGTCTGTGTGGCTCTCAGTCCAGTGCTCTTTCCTACTGTAGCTGCTCCTTCGTGAGGGCTGCCTGACCTGCCTGACCATCCTTGTTCCAGAACACCCCACCTCCTCCAGGAAGCCCCCCAGGAAGAAGCTGCACATCTACAACCCTCCCGAATGAGATGTGCCCTCCACACTCAGGGGCGTAAGCTGCTTCTCTGTCTGGAGACTGAGGCCCTACTTCACTTACACAGCCCGGGCCCCCTTGAAACAGGAGGCATGTGCACACACATGCACACACATGCACACACGCACGCACATGTACACATGCACACATGAACACACATGCACACGCACAGGGATTTATCAATCACTAGTGGGAAAATGACCCACCCTCGCTGAGTCTCCCCTTCCTCCAAGCACTGGGCCGGTGCTTCTCATGTCTGCCCACTCCCATTTTACAGACGGGGAAACCAAGGCTCAGGTCAAATAGTTTGCCCAAGGCCACACAGCTTGTCTGTGACAGATCTGAGGTTCAAACATAAACCAGTCTGACTTTCTAGAGCCTGCTTCTCTGGATTTGCAAGGTCCCTGGGACGGGCCAGAGAAGGAGGAGAATGAGGGTGCATGCAGGAACCACTTTGAGGGGACTCTTTTCCACCCTTGGGCTTTGCACATGCTGTTCCCTCTTGCCGGAACACTCTTCCTCCCTGGCCTTCAGAGCGCGCCTGGCTCCGACCCCCTGATGGCATCTGGGACAGTTCAGGTAGGTTCCTGCCCCTCCTAGGGGGGTGGGAGGGGCCTCCGGCTGTGCCCTCCCAGGAGCAGGGACTGACTGTTTATCTGTGTCTTGCCCTCGGGCCTCAGCCCCACGGGGTAGATAGAGACTGTGTGTTCCTTGCTCCCTGCTATGTGCTCAGTCAGTACTCAACAGACTTATTGAATGAGTGATTGAGTGAATGATGAATGAATGAATGAACAAGGGAAGGCAAGGATGACTCTGGGGTGTCCTTGCTGGGGCCATAAGGCTCAGGTGGGGTCCCCTCCAGGTGGGCTGAAGGCCTCAACCTCCCCTGGCACCAGATCACCAAGCCCCCCACCCCTCTGGAGCACATCTGCCCACACAGGGGGCCAGTATGAAATGGGCAGAGGGGGCTCACGTGGCCCTGGTGTCATTTGTCTTTTCTAGGTCCTTCCTGGGTGGGAAAAGCAGCGTCCTCCTTCCCAGCTGGATGGACAGAGCAGCCGGCTCTGACTTCGGTTTCGCAGAGAAAGCAGATGGAAGAGACTGGCTCCGGGATAGACCCAAAGTCCTGGCTTCTCCCTCCCCAGGCCTGAGGGCTTCCCGGGGCCCCTGGGCTGGGGGAGCCCGGTGAGGAAGGGGCATTGTCTCCAGCTCTGGGCCAGCCTCCTGGGGCTGGGGCGGGGCCTCTATACTAAAGAGCTTCCCAAAGAGTGTCCCCCAAGCACTGCTTGCAGAGACATCCTGATGGCGAGTGACATGAAGTCATCATTCCACTCGGCTCCCCCTGCAGGCCTGCTGGGCTGCGGAAGGGAAGGTCTCAGCTTGGTGCTGACCTCCTTAGCGCCTTGCGCCTTTCCAAGGCTTGCCAACCTCCCTCTGGGGCGGCAGAGGGCTTTGCAGGTGACATCTGATCGTGCTGTTTCGTTTTCTCTTGTGCATGGTTTTCACAGCTGCCTTTTCTTTACAGGTGTGATGCGCACTTTTATTTCAAAACACACTGCTTTCATTACAAAGTAAATGGCAATATAGGCAATATGCACATGTGGCAAAAATCCTGGAGTGGGCCAGAGAACGGTGTGAGCTACGTGCCAGCTGCTCCCTAGAGTGGGTCATCTTTTCCCTCAAGAGCGCTGGCTAGAGTTGGAGGTGTTCTTCCTCCTTCCCTCCCTTCTTTTCCTCTTCCTACTCCTCCCCTCCCTGTTTACCTCCTCCTCATCTCAGACCTTTACGGGGACTCTTCTCTGTGCCAAGCAAGGCACTGAGGACAGAGAGGCAGATAGAACGCGGTCCCAGCCCTCAAGCTGCCTGGGCACGTGGCAGCTGCTTTTCAGCGCAGTGAGCTCGGACGGGGGATGTGCGATGTTCTCTGAGGACCTCAGGAGAGGGGCTTCCAGCTTCACCTCTCAGAATCCAGGGGGACTTCCTGGAGGAGGCAGCATACCACTGCTGCCAATTCTCTCACCTCTTCTTCCTTCATTATCCTATTTTCCCGGGGCTGCCTCCATCCCAGCAGGCACCTCCCTTCTCACTAAGTGTGACAGGTGACAGCAGGGACTCGAGCCAACTGCCTGGGTTTGAATCCCGCCTCTAACTCCTGGCTAATGTGGGAAAATTCCGTTATCCCTTATGGGGCTGATCACACCCACCTCCCAGGTGGTTCTGGACCTCAAACGAGTTAGTATTTAACGCAAAGTTAGTATTTGGAACAGCACTGGCCACGTGCAACCGCTACCCCGCTGGAGACCCAGAGGAGGCTGGGCGGGGAGGGTCTATCCTGGCATCTGGAGCGAGCTGCCCACTTACAGATGGGGAAATAGAGGCTCCACGAGGGACAGTGGCAGCCTCAGTGCCCCACCCAGGACCCCCGATCAGGGTTGACTTCTTTGGAAGCAGAGGCTGGGCTTTGTTATTCATTCTCGATCCTTCTCTCGATACCCATCACTGGGAGCAGGGCACCATTGGCGCCTGCTGTTTACCGAGCCAACTGTTTCACCTGGTCCTTCTCGTAAGGTAGCATGGAGGAAAAGAGTGTGAGCAGACAGACTTGGATTCAAGTTCCAACATAGTCCCTTACTGTGGGGGCGCAGGGCTGGAGGGAACCAAGGAGGGTGGTGACTGGATCCCTACCTGACATAACGTTTACCTGCTCACAGGTGTATTAGAACATCAGCTTCAGGACAGCAGGGGGGTTGCCCACTGAGTCCCCAGGAGCCTAGGACAGCGCCTGGCACGTAGTAAGTCCTCAATAAACGCCTGCCAAGTGAGTGAACCTGGAGCTGCAAGGGTGGCCAGAATTGGAGCTGCCAGGGACAGGTGCAATTTTCATAATAATAGCCCGGAGTTTGGGCGCCTCTGTGTGCCAGGTACTTGCTAACTTTTTTTTTCTTTTTATATGTGATCATTTAATCCTCAGAACAAGGTGGATCCTATTATTACCATCTCCACTCTCCAGGCGAGGAGGCCGAGGGTGAGTGATGGAGTGGAATCCACGCCTATGCTCCGAGCCCACCCTCATCCCCTCCACCAACCCACCCACCGCCCAGGGCCGCTGAGATGACATGTCAGGACCTCAAAATCCCGGGACCATGAACTCTTAGAATCAGAGACCACGACTTCAAGAGTATAAAGCCAGACCATCTCAGCAGTGCTCAGGGGACTTTGAGGTCCCTGCCCCAAGGCCCACAGCAGAAATCCTCTTGCTTGGGGCCCTGATCAACTGCACATTGTGCTTTTGCTCGAACCCTTTCGGTAATGGGGATCTCACCGCCTCACCAGGCATCCCTGACTGCCAATAAGCAAGTACACTACAACTTTAAGGGTCATAGTGATCGCCGAAATCCATCCCTTATTTACAGGTAGGAAACCAGGTCTCAGGACAGGAAGGCGACCTGTTGAAGGTGACACAGCTGACCAGAGGCAGGGACCAGAGGCTCTCGGTCCTTTACACTGGACTCGAGATGCTCCCGGCTTGGCCCTGGGCCCTCGGGGGACTCTCGGAGCAGCCGCGTCCTTCGAGTTTCCTCTTCCCCAGGCTAAATGCTCTTAATTCTGGGGGTCGGCCTTTGTTCATTCTTTATTAAAAAGTCAACATTTTTTGTTACCTCTTCTACTGAGAAAGCTCTCAGGCTAAGGCGGGGAGACCCTGCCCTGCCCCGGGGGAGGTTCTTGCCTGATGGGGGAGGCCCTGCCTGCCCTGGGGAGCTCCTAGTCTGAGGGGAGAGGTGGTCCCTGCTCGGGGATGCCCACGGAGTGCCAGCGCATCACACCCTGCGGGAGGCAGGACCCCGGCTCACATGGGTCTGCCTGTGCTCTGGCCACATTTCCCTTCCCACATTTCCCTCCCTCCTTGGACCTTGAGTGACACCTGTTTCTGGGTCCCCTGGGCCAATAAAAGCACTGCCCTGACAGCCAGGACATTTTTTTTACAAGGCGGTCAGACTTCAGGGCCGCCAGACGTGGGATGAGAAAGCGCCCAGGAATGTGCGGGAACAGCTGCAGGAGGACGGGGTGGGGGGCCGGAGCGGGGCAGGCTCGGATGTCACCTCGGAGAGGAGGGGAGCGGGGAGACGAGCTGGCTGCTGCCGCCTGCCCCTGGGGGTCTCCCTCCACGGCAGCAAGGGCCCCCCACTCCGGGGAGGGGCGTCCGCTGGTTCCCGGAGTGCCGAGAGACGCCAGCTTGCTTCCGGGACTGTCCCTGTTGCTCTCAAACCCCAGGCTCTGAGTCAACTTGTCCCTTCCCCTGGGTGGAAGGGACGTGGGCTTTGGTGGCCGCCAGCCCAGCTCGGCCACCCTCCAGCTCGCCTCCCTGGGCACGCCGATTCCCTGGGCTTCAGCTTCTGCACCTGTGGCGTGGGCGGGGTGGTGCCCACCTGACTAGGGGTCTGAGCCCCCACCAGGCCACACGTGAGCAGCCCGGGCACCGCGGCTGCCACCGAGTGGGTGCCCGACCAAGCCTGGCTGCCCTGGGACGGAAGTGCCCCCAGTTCGGTTCGGGGCGGCCGCTCTGCAGACCTACCCCCCCCCCCCCCACCCCACCCCCCGGCCATGGAGACGGCAGCCAGGAACGGTCCCCGAAGAGCTGTTCGTCACGACCTGTCCCACCTCTTCCTGCCCAGCCTCAGCCCGCTCCGGCCAGGCCCCGGAGACGCTCCTGCACTCGGAGAGCTGCAGGCCCTGGGGAATCTCAGAGCCCGGCCTGGGGGAGGGGAGGCAAGGGGGATCCCCCACGGCAGGCCGGGGACAGCCCTTTGTCCCCCCGCAGGCTGTAGCTCTCGCTCCACTCTCCCTTCCCACTCGCTGAGGCCGTGGAAGGGATGTTCAAGGTCTTGGGTCTGCCCACCCTGCCCCGATGCTCTGACCTGCAGGAGCGTGCCTGCCCACTCTGTTTGCATGCCTCCCACAACGGGAAGCTCATTACCCATCTGAGCTAGGCTTATTCTTGTCCCTTCCTCCCCTCATCAGAGACTGGAAGATTTTTATGCTCCCTGAGCCTCTCCTCTGGCTGAACTAATGACCTCCCTCCCTTCTCTCGTTCTGTCCTTCCTGCCTCTCTCTCTCCCTCCCCCTTGAGCTGTCCACCGCTCAGCGAGTCAGTCAGTTAACCAACACTCGCTGCCACTAACTCTGCATCAGCCGTTGGCGGCGGCGCTTGTCCGTGTGGTCCCCGGACGCCCTGTTGGAAACCCCCACGGCGGGGGGTGGGGGCCCTAAACTCACTGAGCCGGACACCCCGACCTTCTTAACCCCCGTCTCTGGGATGCACCTGCACGCGGACACCCCGGCGCCCCCTCACCTGGACGCGCGCCTCGGTCAGCTTGGTCCTCTGCGCCAGCTCCTCGCGGGTGTAGATGTCGGGGTAGTGGGTCCTCTCGAAGGCCTTCTCCAGCTCCTCCAGCTGCTCGGCCGTGAACGTGGTGCGGCTGCGGCGCTGCTTGCGCTTCAGCGGGAGGTCGGGCTCCGACTCCACGTCCGAGCCCTCGTCCAGCCTGTTCCCTGCGCGGGGGACAGGAGGGAGGGGGCTTAGTGACACGCAGGGTGCGGGGGGCCGGGGGGGCACGGAGGCACACCCGTGCCACCTTGGAACCCGTCACTGCCCTGAGGACCAGGTCCCTCCGCAGCACGAGGAAGGAGGACGTCCATCCGAGGGAAGGGTGGGCAGCAACCTCCGTGCCCAGCCCTGGGGCACTGGCTAAATGCTTTCTGGCAAAACGACTCCCTTAAAAAAATAAATAAATAAAAATAAACCAATCCCCTAGAGTTGGGCACTTAGGTTATTTCCACTGACAGAGCAGAATGCCCGTGACACAGACTCAGGGGGTGTTTTCACAGTTAAATACGTTTGTCAAAATGCATAGAACTATAGTCTCGCCAAAGAAAGGGGAGAATTTTGCTGCACGTTGATCATACCTCAATGAACCTGACTTTAAGAAAAAGGCAAGATGTAAACCAGTGTGCAAAGGCGAATCCCACCTTTGGAAAAAACAGACGCGACGCATTGTGTAGCCCTACGTCCCAAACATGACAAACGTTAACCTCCAAGGTGACAGGACTTTTGTTTTCTTCTCTATGCTTGTTTGTGTTTTAGTGTGTTTTAAACAGTGATTATTTAAACAGAAACGTTATTGCATTTGGGGAAAATGTTGCAGAAGCTAAGGAAAGAAGGCGGGCGGGAAGGAAGGCAGGGAAGAGGGAGCGAGTGTGTGTGCCCAGAGCTGGCTGTCAGGAAGCTCAGATTGCAGGCCTGCTCCTAAATGCCTGTGGCTCTAGGAAGGCTACCTCCCCTCCCTGGGCCTCAGTTTCCCCACTGGTAACATGAAGGGTCTGGACTGCGTGACTTCCACAAACCAGCCCTTCCTGGGATGCTCCAGGATCTCTGAGTGACCTCCCAGGCCGGAGGAGCTCACCTGGATGACCCCAGTCAGGGCCAAGGCCCCGCCCCGTCACCCCCACCAATGTCCGACCTGCGGCCTGGAGCTGGGTGAAGGCCTTTTGCTTCCTGGGCACGGAGCGCGCACGAGGCTGCAGCCAGCCCGCCTCCCCGGCTCTGCGTGGGCTGTAGGCCAGGAGGCTGCAGGAAGGGCCTGCGCAGGCTCCTCGGCTGAGACTCCGGGGACTGACCCTGCTCCCGCCCCCATCGATCCTGTGCCTCCTGCCCATCTCCGCCCAGCACAGGGGGTGCTAGCAGGGAACCCCCCCACCCCTAGCCAGGGCGCTGAGGCTGCACCCTGAGCAGCCCCAGGAGAACCACGGGGAGCGCGGAGAAGGGAAGGGAGAGAGAAAAGAGCAGACGCTCAGAGGTTATCATCCACCCACCATGCCTGTTTCCTCCCTTCTCTCTTTGCCTTCATTTCATTTCCCCTTCCCCTTCCCTTCCTCTCCAGCCCTGGTACTCCTGGAAGCACTTCTGATTTTTTGCTATTCATTCATTCATTCATTCATTCATTCCCCAAGGCACCTGTGTGTGCCTGGCTGGGCTAGGTAGGTGCTGGACAGGGCAGGACGGCTCCCTGTGCTTGGAGCACTCAGCCCAAGTCGAGTTGGAAGAGCCACACCATGTGCCCGCACGACAGATGGGAGAAACTGAGTCACAGGAAGGCAATGTGAAATGTGCTCAGATTCCCCGCCCTCCCCCCCACCCGTTGCACCAGTTACAAAGCCATGTTTGTCCTCAGTTGCTGCAAGTGTCGGTTACCTGACTAGGTCTAGGCCCCTCCCACGAGGGACGACCCCCTGTCCCCACTCGATAAAAACACAAACGTATACAGCCTCCTAGTGTCCAGTGGAGGTGAAGGGGAAGGCACTGCTGGCAGAGGGAAGAGCACGTGCAAAGGCCCCGGGGTGTGGGAAGGCACGACGGGTGATTCCATCATGGTGCCGCAGCCACAGCCCGAGCCTGGCGGCGGACTGGGGGCGTGGGAGGTCACGCGCTGTAAGTTCATCCACTCTTGGGCAATGCCCCTCCGCCCCAGGCCCCTTCCCCCCAGCCCGGCGACCTTGTCCATCGAAAAGTTATCCCTGCTCTTTACTGGCCACTGCCAGGCTGTCCCCAGTAGAGACGCCACACCCACAGCAAGGGGCCCAATGGCAAGGGAGTCCTCTCCTCATGGTGGCCTGCCTCACCCCCAAGACAGGACCCGCGCACGGTCAGATCCACCCCTCCTCTGCCCTTTCCCGGCCGGCGCTGCCAGCTGCCCAGCCCCCCAGTCGCCGAGAGAGACCACGGTGGGCCCAGCTGGCGTCCGGGGCCCCTCCCCCAGCGTGTCTGGTGCTCAGAGCCAAACCCGACTCATCCCAAGGACTCATTTGCTGAAATCCACAGAAAACCTCAGTGTTCTGACGGTGGGGAGGAGAGCAAGCCCCCTGGGGCCCCAGGAGGAGGAAGCAGGCGCCGTCAGGCCGGGAAGGGGGCACAGGCTCGGTCCCTCCAGCGGGGACACTCGAGCTCAGGCTGGGGCTCAGTGGGGTGGGGACCGGGGTGATGGGAGTGAGACCTACGGCCCGAGATTGTCCTCAGCGCTGTGAGGTCAGAGAGGGGGGCAGACGGAGGCCCTGCCCGGGGGGAGGCTCGAGTCTGAGTGGAGTTCTAGAGGAGCTTGCTGTGATGATGGGAAGGCTCCGGATTCATGCTGCTCAACACGGCATCCCTAGCCACACGTGGTAGTGAGCGCTTGGACGTCGCCTGGTGCAACTGAAGAACTTTGTTTCAAATTGTATCTGATTTGAATTCAAACATACGTAGCTGCACGCGGCGCCGTTGGAGGCCCTCTGCGACTGCTGTTCTCGCTTCTTGCAAGAGGCAGGGCGGCCCCAGCCCGCAGCCGCCAGGCGTAGCCGTCTCCAGGTAGAATGCAAAGGCACTGCCTGTTTTTATGTTATTTGTTTTTATGTCTCTTATCTATTTACAGGAAATGGTGCTTATTTGCCATTTATAAGAGGATTAGTTTCCTTGCATTAGGTTTTTAAAGATGCTTTTGTATAAAGTGAAATATTAAGGAATAATAGGGGAGGCTGCAGGGTTATGACCAAAATCGTGAATGCGATTAGCAAATGACCGACACTTGCTGAGCCCCCGGCCTCGGTGCTCTCGCTAGCCCCATCTGGTCCCTCTGTCCTCCCAATCACCCGCAGCTTTCTGGACTCACCGTGGAGTTCCAGGTCCGATTCCCGCCCCGCCCCCGACCCCCTGCAGTCTCTCCCTCCCCCCATCCCGCAGGGCTGTGCGGATCCAGAGACGTGGCCAGACCGGAGCCCAGGCTGCGAGGCAAAGCGGAGCCCACGGTGTCTGCTGTCTGAAGGGTCTGCAATGGTCCTCTGGGATGCTGAGGGTTGCCATAACAACCCCTGGACGCTGAATCGGGAGAGCAAGGCTCTGTCCTCTGCCCATGAGGTCCAGACAGATCTCAGAGGAACAGGACTGCAATCTCTGACTTCAGCCCCCTGAAAAAGAGCTGCCTTGGCCCAGCCCAGGGGAGGAGACCCCCTTTCCAGGGGCCTTCTCCGTGCCAGCCTTAGGACAGGCCTGTGACACGGGGACTATTGACTCTTTTACGATGGAGAAAACGAGGCTCAGAGAGGTTCAGTCACTTGATGTAGGCCACACAGCCAGTGAGCCCGTGCCCCCTTTCTGGACAGGGATGGAAGGAAGGGACAGATTGGGAGGAGCGTGAGGGCCCCTGGGACAGCCCTGGGCGAGTCAGGAGTCCTGGTCCAGGGAGCCTGAGACCTGGATTCTGGGTTCTATCCCTCGCTGTGTGGCTGTGGCCAAGTCACTTCCCCTCTCTGGACCTCGGTTTTCTCAGATGTAAAAACAGGGACAATGACACACCCCTGCATGCCTCACTGGATGGCTTTGAGAATGGAATAACATAAAGACTGCGGGAGTGATTTGGAACTCACAGGGCACGTGGATGAGTATTATTATGTTGATGATGATGATGACGGGAGGGGTGGGGGCACGGGGCCAAAGCAGCGTGGGGAGGGGTGCAAAGACCCCTGATGCCACCATCTGACGTCACCCTCGCTCCAGTTTCCTGTACCCCCTACCCACTTGGGGTGCCCTTCCCCCTCCCCACCCGGGGAACCCTTTAGCCTCAGAGTTAAATCACTCGAGAGGATTAGGTGGAGGTGGCCGCAGAGAGGCCCTGCCGGCTGGGGCCGAGTCCTCCGTGCTCCAAAAGCTGGTCACCTCTCGGTGAAGCCTGCACAGCCGGTGCAAGGAGGGGTGAGGGGAGAGGGGACATGGGACGTGGGAGCCCATTCATTAAACGGAGCCAGGCGCGGGGTGGGCAGGGGGGAGCAGCTCTTGGCCTGCTCGTGCCTTCCCACTGTCCAGCAGCTATGGGATGGACCGGTCCTCGGGGAAGGGACGGAGCCGGGTGCTGGTCTAAAGGTAGCCCCGAGAGAGAGGGATGCAGGGAGGGACCCTCTCTCCATCTCTGCATAGGGATGTGGAGAGGCCCTTAGGGAGCCAGGGGGAGTTGCAGCCCCACCTTTGAGCCCTCCCAGTCTTACGGGGGAGAAGCAGCCCCTGCTTTGGGAAGCTCCCAGTCTGACGGAGGGGGTGTCACTCCTGCCCTGGGGGTTTCCCAGTCCAGTCCCAGGGAGGAAACTCTGCTTCCCGATGAGCACAGGACAGGCGTAAAACACCAAGACTGCTGCGTGACTCACAGAAGCCGCAGAGCAGCCCGAGGACAGGACAAGAGGTGGCAGGAGGGGTGCTGGGAGCCGCTCGGTTTGTCGAAACTTTGGGGTGGGCAGGAGCGAGCTCTGCGCAGGGCGGAGTGCAGCCCAGGCCGGGGCGCTGGTGCAGAGGAAGGTTGCCGGGCAGCTCTCATCGTCTGCCCCAGCCTCTGCCTCCGCTTCGAAGCCTCCTTTCACAGCCCCCGAGCCCCGGAAGCCAACGAGGACTGCGGGGTGTGCCAGCAAGCCTTGGCCCTGCCACCATCAGCCTGGCCCACAAGTCCCAACTCACCCCGCCGTCCCACGCGACTCCC